AGTACAAATACAAGCCTCTACTGCGAAATCACTCCACAAAAAAAGTCAACATTTCTAACCTTTTTAAATGTGTTTGTGTATGTTTGCATTAGTGTATGAGTGTGCCTCTCTCTCTCTCTCTCTCTCTCTTTCTCTGTGTCACCTTCACTATTCATCATTTTGTGTAAGTGGCATGGTTTATTTCTTGTATGACTAAATTACAACAATTCACACACACACACGCGCGCGCGCACACACACATATGCCATTAATACTTTTAGATTTTTCAAGTTTACATTTTTTTTTTTTTTTTTTTTTTTTTACATTATTTAACATTATAATGAACAGGAAAATGAATTGAAAGTCAAAATTTAAAGCCACAAAGTTTAAGCAAAAACTATTCTTTCAAAAACAATTAAAATCATTTGAAATTTTTAGATGTTTCTTAGTTCTGCTAGAGGTGTGCTTGTTGAGTTATTAGAAGGATTTCATTTTGGTCTTATCAGGTTGGAATGTTGGCCTTATCAGGTTGGAATTTTTAGAGATTTTTGTTGCTTAGAAACACATTCGGTTGGCAGCTGGTCTATTCGAGCTCATCCCTATTAGCCTGAACCCTGGGGTCAATATATAGCAATTTAGTAAGCATAGGATTTACACATTTACATTGTTCAGACTATTGCCCTCATCTTTATTGTCATATTGACAAACATTTCGGTCATTGTACATATGGCAAAAGAGAAAATCACTTATCAAGAAAAAGGACACGTGTGTTCTGTAAAATATACCAAAGACAAAATAGTTAAAATAGTGGATACATTTAAAACAAAAATTGGACATCTATTTGAAATACTAGTATCCACTATAAAAATGTGGCAAAAGAGAAAGTTACTTAGCAAGAAAAAGATCAAAATAACCAAAATAGAAATAAGTCAGTGGCAGGGGTTGCCATAAATGCATCTTGGATATCACAATTTATCACAATTTATTCCAAGGGGGTCACAATATATAACAATATAATAATAAGCATAGAATTTACACTCTTTACATTGTTCAGACTATTGTCCTCATCTTTATTGTTATATTCACAACATTTTGGCCATTATACAAAAGTAAAATATAAATGCACAGTGGTGTTATTCTAAGTCAAATTTTCTAGCCTTTTTTAATGTGTTTGTGTATGTCTGTATTTGTGTATGAGTGTGCCCCTCTCTCTCTCTCTCTCTCTCTCTCTGTCATCTTCACTATTCATCATTTTGTGTAAGTGGCATCAAGCAGTAACATCTAACAGTTTGTCGTAGTTGTTCATTTTCCTTATTTCTTGTCTGGCCAAATTAAAAAAATTCACACACGCGCGTGCGCAAACACACGCACACATACACACATGCCATTAAAACTTTTAATCTTTTTTCAAGTTTACCTTTTGTTTTTGTTTAATTAAACTCATTTAACATTATAATGAACAGAAAAATGAATTGAAACTCAAAATTTAAGGCTATGAATTTTTCTGCTATATTTCAAGTCCGGATTATTATGATTTTCTTCAAAATCAAGCTAAATTATGTACATTTAATTATTCCATACAAATGAATAGTCAAAATTCCTAGCCTTTTTAATGTGTTTGTGTATGTCTGTATTAGTGTATGACTGTGCCTCACTCCCTCTCTCTTTCTCTCTGTCACCTTATAAATTCAGTTGAGATTTTTAAACATATTTCATAGTTCAGCTTGAGGTCTGTTCGTTTAACCATATTATTAAAATGATTTTATTTTTGCTTTTACGGGTTGGAATGTTGGCCTTATCGGATTGGAATTTTTATTTCTTGTAATCACTTTCATCAATTGCTAGTTACGTTAACATTTTTTTCTTTGTGTAACATTCTTATGAATGTTTTCATCATTTTAAAAAAAAACAAAAAAACTCATCATTTTATAGTATAAATTTAAAAGTATAAAAAGTAGTAAAAACAATTTGGGATTATTTTATTCTTGGTGGTTTGTGTGACGACTTTAGGTCCAACCGAAGAAACTAATATTTTTACTTTTGTTTATAAATACTTGTTGCAAAATAAAATCTTCGCATTTGCCTTGATAAACGCCATCAGATGACGAAACGCGTTGGCTTACATAATTTTTCCTTTTGTCATTATTCATATTTTGTCCTTTTACAGATTTATTTTTAGTTATATCTGAAATTTTAAACACACACACAAACACACATATATATATATATTATGAAGTGGATTAAGTTCGACAATTATTTAATAAATTTTCTGTTTATACGTTATTTTTATAGATATAATTTATTTAAGTAAACGCGCAGTTTTGTTTTTTAATTAAACAGTATTAATTACATTTACCGGCCTGAATGTTCCAGAAATTTTGTAGAAAATATGCGCTTTCCGACAGGAATCGAACCTGTAACCCTTATGGGAAAAGTCATATAGCCTGTCGTGCCATTACCATTCAGCTACAGAGAGGCGTCTGGTTAGCAAAGACCGAATTACTGTTTATAAACACAAAATCTTCGAAGATTTTTCTTGATCGGACATTTCTGCTCACGAAACCTATCTTAACAATGAAACCTATCTTAAACAGTGACGACAGATTATGAATCGATTAAGTTCGACAATTTTATATATATATATATATATATATATATATATATATATATATATATATATATATATATATATATTGAGACCTAAAAGCCGCTCCTTCGGTGTACAGAGGGGTTATTGTAAGGACGTATTGTGTATTTTTTTCTATACATTCAAGTGTGAGCCCGAATGTACTCGACTGTCTTTCTGTTAGTATAGTATGCGTCTCAACCCAGATAATGCCAGAATAGATTTGCAGTGTCCTTCAGAAAAGCCTAGTGTACGGTTGATCTGGGGTAATTTGGCGTCTTGGCCGCCGAGTGAAGATCCACATGATTAGCCAAGCTGCGTCTGATATGTGTGCACATTGGAAAACCCATGTAACAGATAAATATATAAACACCGACCCGAGAGACAACAGAGAAGTCTCTTATGAGGCTGTAAGATCCATGTTCGGCTGATGACCTTGGTCCACACACAACAACGTAGAGAGGGCCAGCAGTACATACGCTAGTTTTATATCTCGTGTATGATGCGACCCTCTTAAAATTAGCTTCAAAATTAGGTTTTTATAAGCCGTATGATACGCGAGTATATACAACGTATATAAGAAACCAATCTATCAGAATACATTTTTGGAATTTACTTAAATTCTGTCTAAATTATAGAAATGGATAGCATATACACTGGCAAAAAAATGGGGGATGAGTTTAATACTAAAAACAATACAAAACTGATCCCTCACTTTCTATCATCTATTCATTTGAGAACCTATAAGGATGTTTTGGAATTTCATCTATGAATCTAATATGGCCAAGAAATGAGGGTTGTGTTTAGTACTAAAGAACAATACAAAAATGATTCCCCACTTTCTACCATCCCCTTTGATTTTCTATAAGGATTTTGTTTTGGTTACTGTATATACTCATGCATCATGCGATCATTGAAGCTAATATAACCACACTAATTGGATATATATTATGGTCAACGGCGTAGCCAGGACCAGTAGTACATACGCTAATTGTATATCTCGTGTATGATGTGACCCTCTTAAAATTAGCTTCAAAATTAAGTCTGCAAAAGTCGCATGAATATATACGGTAATAACGGTTAATTATAGGCGTTCAACTATCGCAGAACCGCATGAATTGACGCACCAATAACATTTTTCTTTGTCCTGCTTGATCTTTGTTTTATAATGTCTGTTTTAATGAGTGTAATAACATTTTGTCCCAGCAGGAGAATAGAAGAGATAATCTCGATCATAAATTAGAAAGCTTACATTACCAGCCAACCTCTGACAAATGAATGAGAACTTCCGGTTGCAATCAAAATCCACCCATTTTCCAAGTGTTGGTTTGCGGTTAAAAATGAGCACGCAGTTTTCATGGCCTTCTTGATTGTTAGGTTCTTCTTCCATCCAGTTTGTGTAACTTCCCGGTAATAACTATTTAAAAAAAAAAAAAAGATAAAGCGTATAATTAAAAATTACGGTTTTAACATAGGTGAAATCGTGGCATATTTTATTAATAACTAGCAGTAGAGTCCGGCGTTGCCCGGGGATGTAACAGTAAGAGATAGATCAAGTATCGACCATCATAAAGACTGAAAAATAAAATTGACAAAGATTATTGTTTAAGGTTGACGGACACGCATGTCTTAATTATTTTTTTTTTTTTTGCGAATTGGTCAAACCCAAACTCAAACAAAAACATTGTTTTCAATCGTTATGAGTCTACCGATTGAATAGAATTTTATTATAAGCAATTGTCTTGTAAATGGAATTTTTAAAGCATTATGAATGTAAAAATAAAGAAAAAAGTGTGCAAGACAATAAGAAACACTAGCTGCCAAAAAAAGTGAGGTTTTGTTGAAATCGGTTGAAAAATGTAGGAAATCCGATCCCATATATAAACGAACACACACACACACACACACACACACACACACACACACACACACACACACACACACACACACACACACACGCACACACACACAACCTGGGTTTTATAATAAGTATAACTCGATATGAGTTGTCCCCCTTTCATTCTGGCGACAGAATCATATTTTATCGTGTTTTCAAATTGATTTCGTGCAAAACCAATTGTGTTTTTCCAATTTTTGGCGCTGTCAGATGAACCACAAGGTAATTTTACGCAGTCCTGTGAAGTTTTGTTGAAATCGGTTGAAAAATGTAGGAAATCCGATCCAATATATAAACATACAGACACACACACACACACACACACACACACACACACACACACACACACACACACACACACACACAATCTGCGTTTTATAATAAGATAGTAGCAAATTTATAAACTATAACGGACTACAGATTATTAAAAGTTTCAACCTTCTCATAGAAACACTCCGATAAAGTGAATCTGAGCCTGTAATTAAGAATAATGAAAGACAGTTTTGACAGTCATATGATGATATCTTATATTAGGAAAACATTTTTGTTATTGTGGGTAACTTCTGTCATCATTTAAATATCTGGAAAGACGAAACACGACACACAGAAATCAGAAGACACACTGGAGTAGCGAAAGATACTTTTCAAAAGCTAAATAAAGAAACAGCAAACATTCACACTATTTACATTGTTCGGACTCATCTTTATTGCCATATTCACGATGTTTCGGCCGTTGTACGGGCCGGCCTTCTTCAGGTGATATTTGTTGGAATTTCGAACCGAACTCTTTATTTGGTCCACGGGGGTGGGTGGGGTGGTGTTAGATTGTTCTAATTCCACGTGCCATGCCTTTGGATTTCTCAGTTTTAGTTAGTTTCTCTTGATAACACTCCAACTTTTTCTGTCTGTTGTGGCCAGTGATTGAACTCACAACTCTTTGTGTCAAGTCACTTTTGTATCAATCAACCAACGCTTTTACCCACTGGGCCATGCGTCCCCAATGTAAATAGTGTATATGGTTAGAATATCTCATCTCAGAACTATAGACAGAAGCAGCCATTCATTACAAAGAGTACTGAACTGCTGTTAAATTATCAATACTCCTATGTGGTAGTAAATACTGGGCAATCTCCTCACAGATGAAGAGTCTTGAGGCAACATAAATGTTGTTCTACAGAATGATGCTGAGAATACCATGAACAGAACATTTGAGCAACGAGCATGTTTTAAGGAAATTGGAAGCAAAAAGAACGCTTGTACTTAGAATAGGTAAGAGAGAGTATAAAATTCTGGGACACGCCATGAGAAAATCGGGTTTGGAGAAGCTGACGCTTATAGGACATAATGAAGGCTAAGGGGACAAAGCAAATCAGCGACTAACCTACCTGACGTATTTGTGTAAGCGAATGGCAGAATGGGAACCTACAGTGATATCAAAGGGATAAATATTAGAGCTATAGCAAATGGAAGTTGTAGAGAGCCATGATTGAACAAACTCTAAAGTGACAGGGCATATAAAAGAAGATTGTGGGTAATATAAGATCTTTTCGTGTTTGCTAATTCATACACCAGCTTTCGGGTAAGGTGTTCGTAAATTTAAGCGGACTTTTATCACATATACATAAAGGAAGCTTGGGCACCTCGAGGTGGTGTAATGGTTAGCAAGCTTGGCTCGCTAGAACAATTACGACTGAGTAGTGAGTTCGATCTTCACTGGGTGCACCCTAATATCGGCCTTGTGCCACATCTAAGCTACGCTTGGAAAATCACTACATAAAGGAAGCTCAATATATAAGTGTTCTATTTAGCTTAAAACACATTCACTCATTCAGGCAAATGGATCATTGCTTGACTGGGAAGCTCACCGCGGTGAAAGCACAGCGGATCAAACGATGGCGTCTCCTGCATATATTGTCTATATCCTGCAAATAGTATTTGTTCATGTTATCAAAACACATTTTGTGTTATATATATATATATATAAGTAAATATAAAAGTGAACATAGAAGTCAACACTTAGAGGCGACAGTCTGATTCATACTATATGCAATCGTCAGGCCACATATGCTGTTATTTTTTCTCGGCTATTTATATATATACGGGTTAGTGGTGCATTGTGTGTATTCTATTATGGCGGTTATTTTACCGGAAGTCGTTTGTTTATTTATTTGGGTCAAATTATATTGCTCGTTTTTATAAAAACATATGTGGCCTGACGATTGCTTCTAGCATGAAACAGACTGTCGCCTCTAAGTGTTGACTTCTATTTTCACTTTTATATTTACACACGCTCTATCTCTGATATTGAGCACTTTATTCCATAAATATAGCACACTTTAAGACTATATTTCTTTATATTTATAAGTATATATATAGCTGGCCACTATTCGAGGATACCCATTTACCCACCTCTGGTTTATACTGCAACTATGCTGAGCAGACCTTAGTTACAGTTTCTGGGAAAGAGCATGTTATCTAGCGCGATCAACAATTTGAACAATTTGCACGCTCAAGCCCTCGGCCACTATGACTCGCGACTTCGTGCATGCACAGCTATTGTCGGCCCCCAAAAGGGTTCCGTGTACCAAATTTCACTCACAATGTTTGGGTCAAGCCGTGGGTATGATTTTCAGGCACTTCCACCTCCAGTCCGCTAACACCAGGAAGAAAACTTCCTGATAAATCGAACATGGTGAGATTCGAACACGGGTCTCATGGACAAAATGCGAACGTTCTAACCACTCGGCAACGTGCCCCCCACCCCTTTCTATCTATCTATCTATCTATCTATCTATCTATCTATCTATATATATATATGTGTGTGTGTGTGTGTGTGTGTGTGTGTGTGTGTGCGTGCGTGTGTGTACGTGTGTGTATATTTATACATATATGATTAATCGTGTATATATATATGTAGGTGTATATGCATATGTATATGCATGTGTGTAAATATATATATATATATATATATATATATATATATATATACACATGCATATACATATGTATATACACTTACATATATATTTATAGATATGTGGTTAATCGTGTATATATATATATGTGTATTAACCATATATGTATAAATATACACACGTACACATACATACGTATATTTCATTTATGATAAGATAACGAACAAATAAGAAACGTATATCAATCTAACATGTTTCACTTTTATTAAAGCTTCATCAGAGAATGACTTATGGAGAAAAAGAATAACGAAATTCTGATATTTTTATTTTTGTTTGATCTTAATTAGTTAAACCTGTTTCGCGTGCGTTCGACTTATTAAATAAACGCTAGTCTTTGATCCACATTTGACCAGCATTTCAACCCAACCTTAAGATATAGACTTTGAACCATATCTGATCTATATTTGATCTCAACTTTCAGATATGGACTCCGATCCATTTTTGATCCCAAACTTTAGATGTCTAATCTGGCCCATATCTGAACTGTATTTGATCTCAACATTCAGATATGGGTTCTGATCCAGATTTGATGTGTATTTTGATCTCAACTTTCACATATGGGCTCTGATCAATGTTTGACTCCAACTTTCAGATATGGACTCCAATCCAGATTTGATCTTTATTTCATCCCAACTTTGAGATATGGAATCCATTTCATATTTGACCCAAACTTTCAGATATGGACTTTGATCTATATCTGATCTATATTTGAGCCCAATTTCCAGATATGGACTCCGAAACATATTTGATCTGTAATTGATCCCAACCTTCAGATATGGACTCCAATCCATATTTCATCTGTATTTCATCTTACCACTTAGTAAGTTTGTTTATCGTCCGGTTCACACTCCTCTCCAGTCTTTTGAACAGTGGTATATGTTTTACACTTGTACACTTTTTAAGATTTGGTTTCAGTTCATTCTAACATCTTTTCATTCTTTTTCATTCTCAGTAGCCTCCGTGCATCTTAGTAACATTGTTTCCTTGCTTGAGGCAAACCGATTAAAAAAAGTCATGCAATTATATATCGAAGTCATTTATTCCTTTCGTAATTCATAGGTCATGCTCTTGTAAATTCTGTGACAATGAATATTACCTTGGTGCCATCGCTGTCCCAAACCATAACGCCTTCTTGTGAGCGATCATTCAGTCCAATCCATTGACTTTTCTGAGACATTGCTGAAAGTAAAAAAATAAAATCACTTTAAAGCGATATTTCTGGCGCATACCATACATTTTTTACGGTATATCAACCCTTTCTAGGCTATTTAAATCCGATGCATATTTTAGATTGTAAAAACAATTCTTTTTTTTGCGAGTGAATGTTACATTGACAGTTTTTCGAAAATAATGATCGTATTTTCCTTATACAAGCCTAGTCTTTAACCAAAAGCTGCGAAAGAGAAGAGATGGATTTCTATTTTCGTGAATTAAGTGAATTTAAGGGACTCGAGTGGAATTCGAACTCCGCTCTCCGATTTCTTATTCCGAGCCGCTGATAGAATTCTTCATTTCATGTATAAAGTTGTTGCCCATGAAGTTATAAAATTATTATCTATATCTCCACAACAGATTCAGGTTAATTTGGTCGCCAGTTAATCGGGACATTGGTTTAATTGACAAATATGGACATATATGAATGTCAGTCTCTCTCTCAATTTTTCTTTCTCTCTCTCTCTCTCTCTCTCTCTCTCTATATATATATATATATATATATATATATATATATATATACACACACACCCTTGTGCAAATTAATTGAAACAAAACGCATAATACCGTTTTTATTTACTTCGTTTCGTACTTTTCCAATGAAACATGACCCAGTGCACATATTAGTTCTTCGTATGTCCATTCCACGAAGTTTTTCCTTGCAGATTGACAACGGATTTTCGATTGGGTTTAAATCAGGACAGTTTACGGGCCAATCTATAGTACTGTGATTTGTTCACTGGCAAAGCTTGCAGACAATGCCCGTATGACAATTAATCGACAGTCGAGACAATAGTGTCTGGGCATGATAAAAATCTGATGCAATCACGGATGACACAATATTTATCAAGGTCAAACAAATTTCATCATACAACCCGAAAATAGATTCATATTATTGCACACTACTGCAGAAGAAAATAGAAATTGATTACACCCTGTTACTCCAGTGGGTCTAAAACTGACCATATAGTGAAAGAAAGGAAACTAAATCGGTTGTTTCAATTAATTTGCACAAGGGTGTATATATATATATATATATATATATATATATATATCGTTGGACAATTCTAGCAAGGTTTTTTTCTTTATGTGCCGTGTAGCCTCAGTGTGGAGGCGGTCATGACCCTCCACAACTTCCTGTCCATTGTAGCACTTAATAAATGTTGTCTTTTTTTTATTCCTCCTAAACCCTGTCCCGCTATCCATTTACTCAAGCTAAGTACCACGTGTTTCTGTCTCGCCTGCCTTCAGTCTGCCTGTGAGTGCCAGATTTCCCAAGACTTCCTTCCTCATTACGTGGCCTAGAAATTTCAAATGCTTCTTCCTAATGTTAAGTATAAGTTTCCTTTTTGTTTCCATTTTGTCTAAAACCTCGTCGTTGCTCACATGTTTAGTTCTCAGCATCCTTCTGGGGAAACACATTTCTGTTGCTTCAAGTCTCTTCTTTTAGGAGATTGTCACTACCATAGAGGAGGACAGATATCACAGCTCAGTACTAACAAGATAGACTTCTTTTTATGTTGTCTCTTGTATGCTTCATTTTTGGACTTATAACAACTTTTAGACCGTCTACAAGAAGACTTAGACACTATTTGTTAGAGTGGTATAACAAAAAGTTAGTTTCGAAAATAGATGAGTGTTTAACTGAAAGCGCTCAGAACCAACAGATTTTCGGACAATTTTTACATTGATAAAAAAGTCCAGTAGACATTTTGCTTATAGAAGAAACATATAGCAAAAAAAAAACAAAAGAAAAGTACCTTGTCGATCTTGTTCAATGAAACATGTATGAAAGAGGAGTTGTTGTCCAAATGCACACACTCGCACACACACACACGCACATGCGCGAACACAGACACATACATGTACACACACGCGCAAGCACACAAGCTTACACGTACATACACACACATGCACGCACAGGCGCAAACACGCACGCATACACGTACACGCACGCGCAAACACGCCATTTACAAGTACACACACGCGCAAGCACGCAAACATACACACGCACACACAGGCGCAAACACGCACGCATAAACGTACACGCACGCGCAAACACGCACACATACACGTACACACACACGCACGCACATGCGCAAACACGCTATATACACGCACCACACACGCCAAAGACACGCAAACATACACGTACACACACACATGCACAAACACGCACACTTATACGTACACACACACGCACGCACACACACGCGCAAACACGCACACATACACATTCACACGTACGAACGCACGCACGCACGCCCGTATACACACGCGCGTATACAAGAATATAGTTTGCTTTCTGAATAATGATATTTTGAATTTATATAAAGAAAATATTTTGTTTAAAAAATAAAAACTTTGGAAAACTTTGCATCAACAGAAATTGAAGAACAATTTGAAGAGCCAAATAAATAAGGAGAATAAAAATTTGAAGAAGAAAAGCTAAAAACCTTTGGTAAAAATAAAAGTCATACGTACTGTCTATGAAATACTGAGTATTTTGGTCGTTCACTTTTGCCAAAGAACTTTTTTGTTGCTGGCATGTGGTTTTGGCTCCAATCCAAGTGCTACGCGTATTGTTGAAATAGTAGCAGTAATTGTTGAAGGAAATCCAATCTTTGGCACAACGAAAATATACTATACGAAAACAAGACAAAAAATACATATAATTTTTGTTTCATTTTTAAAAAATTTAAAAACTGTACACACACACCCATACGCGCGCGCGGGCACAAGCATAAATGCATATATTAACATAATGTATATTAACAAACAGAAAGAGAAAATTACCGGACCCATAATGAGGAAAGAGTGCTTAGAGAGTGTAACACTCACAGGATATTCCGAGAAACCGGGCGAAGTGTGAATGGATGAACAGAACAGGAACAAAGAGAGATGGTAAAGGGGCATAAGTGATAGCAAAAAAAAGGTAGGAAGTTGTGGAGACCCATAATGGGTTAACTTAACGCAAATGTCAAATATGCCAACTACGCATATGTCAAATATGCCAAATATGTCTAATATGCATATGTCAAATATGTCAAATGCGCATGTGTTAATACTTAACGATTTTGTGTTAATGGATAGCAGAAGAAGTGGGGAGTAGCAGTAACAAAAGGCAGTAAGCTGTGGAGAGTCGTGATCAATCACAACCTGAAAGTACTTGACACATAAATGAATATATTGTCGAAAACAAAAAAATACGGATAACTCTTCGTAGCGTAATGGTCAGATCATTAGTTCGTTGCGCACTAGGTGCCCTGTATTGTTGCCTTGTGCCAAAAATCTAAAGAAAAAGTTAGAAATATATATGTCGGGATTAAAACCATTTAAACTGACGAAAGAATGAAAAACTATCCCGGACGTTGTCACGTCACACAAGTTCTGACACATGAAGATTATAGGAGCACTACATGTTCTGCAGCTATAACAATAGTGTTGTGGCTTGGGCAAGACAGCCTGATGGAGGCCATCCATCCCTCTTCATCCTGGTTTTGAATTCAGTTTTCTTTCTGGAATGATTGCCATCTCGAGATCCGAGTCTACCATGTAATTTAATCAGTAAGTGAGGGAAGATAGATTCATGCCTTTTACAAGAGCATGAGCATAAATAAACAGAATCGAGTGAGAATTGCACGTCGAATTCATTTTCCGTTCTGATCACAATTGTACTATCCGCGTGTTCATCCCAAACGTAAGGATATTTCATTTGTTGAAGTTAATCAATAAATTTAAGGATTCTACTGTCTTTGAAGATAAAATTTTTATTAAATATGAAAATATATTAAATATGCATATGTCAAATATGTCAAAGTCGCACGTGTCAAATATGTATATGTCAAATATGCACATGTCAAATATGCACATGCCAAATATGCAAATATGCACATGTCAAATACGCATTTGTCAAATAAGTTAAATACGCATATGTCACATACGGATATGGCAAATACGCCAACTACGTATATGTCAAATATGCTAAATATGCATATGTCAACTATGTCAAATTTGTCAAATACTCATGTTTCAAATATGCCAAATGCGTACATTTCAAATATGTCAAATATGCACATGTCTAATATGACAAATATGCATATATCAAATACGCATGTTAAATATGCATACCCCAAATATGCCAAATATGCATGTGAAATATTTTGGATAATACCGCATTTTTTTTAAATTTTCGCAGAATTTAATTTCTAAACAATTTTTAAAGAATTTCATGGAGTTACCAAAATATTAATAAAATTTTACGAGCTTTTTTTTTTTTAAAAAAACCTTGTTTTGAAAATCATTAATTTAAAAATTTTTTTAGCATTTTTAAAAAATGTAAAAGCTTCATAAAAATTAGCAATAATAATAATAATAAATATATGTGTAAGAATAAGAAATTGGGGCATGATGAAGTTCTTTATACTTTATCCATCGGAAGTTTTGTAAAAAGTAACGGTTTGAACGTAGTGACAAGTATTATGAACATGTGATCAGAAAGGAAAAAAATGCTGGCAAAAGGTGCAATGAAATCGTTGCTCTGTAATTTTTAAAAATTTTCTCTTAAACTTCCTGGTTTTCTATTCTGATAGACGTCTTGCTTTGGCAAAAGTAGGACCATGACTGCCTGTATCAATTCTATAATATACTCCTACATATGTGCTTGCTGGATTGGTATGTGGGGATATAATGTTGGGATATACTTTTATAAAACCTTTAATGAAATCAGACATATTGCTATTCACGACTAAGTTGATAGAGTCGTTGAATGTTTTTGGGTTCTTAGAACACGATGTTGTGGGATAGATGATCGTTCTTTGTTGGCAATCTATCAATAAACCAAAATTGTTTAAGAAATCGAACTCTAGTAGGGAGTATTGAACGTCTACTACTGAGAACGTCCACTTAAAAAAATCGTCGAAGAGTCGGTAGGCTTATCTCGGCTTTAATTTGTCTGCAGCAGCGTATGTCTGAGCCTGTGGCCATGGTTAGAGAAACTGGTGTTAGTTCCGTTGACAAACTGTTGCCGTAGTTACGTAGAATGACAGATAAGTTAGCACCGGTATCTATTATGAATGAAAACTTTCATTTCCTCCCAACGTTGCTGGTACATGTAATAATGGCAGACTTGGAGTGGGGGTGGGGATGTCGTCATCCCACCCAATTAGTTTCTCGCTTCGTTTGGCGGTGGTAAAGATGAACACAAACTTAGATGTTGTATCTTTTTTTGTTTGGCCATTTGCACCAGCATTTATATGAACATGGCTCGTTCGCATCACAAATGTATGCTTCACATATTTTTTGTAATTGTCTCCTTTGGAAAGGTTTGAGACCATAATGTATTGCTGGGATTTTAGTAGGCACCTCTTTCGTCTGGATTTGGTTACAAAGGCTTATTTTAGCAGTGCTTTGTATTAAAGGCATTAATTCATCCGACAATTGTCCCAGCTTGGCTGGGCTTAAATCATTTTGTGTTGCTAACACAGGGTCGATGGAAGATGGTAATAGTTCTAAAGGTTTGTGGAAAACTATATCGCTGCCTATCTTCAATCTTTCTGCAATCGACAACACTTCCTGAAGATAAATAGATGGTCGACCTGCAATAATGGAGGTAAACATTAATTTACCAAGCAGTTCTGGCTTTGTTTGTTCGTGCGTTTCAATTCAAATCTTTTCTTTAACTCGTCGTAACTGTGAGTAGCCAAAATGTTGCCAGGTATTTTCGCCACTATTTCCGGATGTAAAGACGCTATAACGTTATAAAATTTGTTCATTTGGGAAGTTACGTTTCTCAAATAGAATTGAGATTCAATAATTATGGATCAAATGGTAATGTTAGTTTGCATGAATTTAAGAGTCTTTATTGTTTTTTGTTGGACAGTCGGCTCGCGGCGCTCTTCATATTGTTTATCTATTTTTATATTGTGTAATATATATATATATATATATATATATATATATATATATATATATATATATATTATACAGAGGCATATACAGGCATGGTGGAGTAATGGTTAGCTGCTTGGATTAAGGAATTCCAGTTGAATCCATTGCATTCACTTACGTGCTAATACTCCTTGGAAAGGTATGAATCCTCCTCTCCTCTCTAACTATGGGTAAATACCAGGATAGACTGAGTTCTATAGCCTTGGATGGCAACTGGTCTAGGAGAAGGAAAACTCTGAATTCAAAAACCTGCAGAGGGTCGTTTGAGGACCTTGTGGCATGTAGTGCACCAGATCTCTGTATTCGGCCCTTCAAAAAGTGTGAATTATTCTGCACAAAACCTTCTCCACTATAATCAAATCTCATGTGGTGGTATCGGGCTGTCGGTTCCTAGGAACTGATCTGCTTGACCCTCATACGTTCAGTATATATATATATATATATATATATATATATATATATATATATATATATATATATATATATAAACATATATTATCAAATATAACAGACAATGGGCCATTCTAAACTCCGTATATTTACTTTAATTTCGAGTGAAAATAAAGACAAAAATTGTCCAGCATTTGGATCTTTTTTTTCGCCCTATATGAGCCATCTTTAGAGTGGTTATGCGGGCATTTAAACAAAAATATTAACCATCAAAGATGATATTCTGTTATGTTGACGTAAAAGAATGCTATGCGACGATAGCGGCCGCAGAATAGCTGACGCACGTCGTAAATTCATGATGCAGTTCTATGACGTCGTATCACGTGAGAGACTGAAATATTAACAACGGAACTATATGTCTAGATGCTATGTATATATATTGGAATTTACTAAATATGTTGTCAGGAATTTGTTTTTTCTCTTTTTTTTGTCGAGGTCACCAAATATGTTGTGTGAATATATATATATATATATATATATATATATATATATATATATTATATATATATATATGGATAGACCTAATTTTACATACAACAACATCAATACATGAAAAAACTTGTTTAGTTATATATATATATATATATATATATATATATATATATATATATATATATATATATTTTAAATTATTAATACATGGTGTGCATATATGTTCTTACTAAAGACTGGGTACCAAAAACTATAATAGAGTACTTATCTGTCTGGTTGCTAAGTGCATAAGATTATGTTTCAAGGAGCAAAAAGAGAAAGATTGACTTGCCCATCTACCTAACGATATCTCGTGCGGGTCTCGTCAGAGCACGTGACTGTTTCTTTTCTCGTGGATATTTATTGTTAATATTTATTGCTATGTCTGTTTTGATCAAGGGGAGATAGCTTTTTGGTCTCTCGCTACAGCCACAAGAACGGTATGTACCTTCTTATTGACATGACAGACCCTGCAGATTGTAATATATCTTTGAAGGTCTTAAAAAAAAAGATCAAAATACAAGGATCTTCAAGGGAGAATCTTAAAAATATGGCATCAATAACTCCAGTTGTAGTTGGAGCACTCGGATTGATTGGAAAAAGTTCCGATAGAGCCATTGAGAAAATCCCGCCTTAAAGAAATACAAAAAATTGTACTCACAAGTACATCTCACATATTACGAAGTGCTTTATCTCTGTAAAATATGTGTAATCTTAGGTTGTTTTTTTTTTATTTTACAAAAATGATAAGTGGAAAATATTAAGTCATTTCTAATCTTAGGTTTCTGGTTGGGATCCGGAAGGAAATATGTATACAGCGGAAATCTAAGAAGATAATAATAATAATAATAATAATAAGAAGAAGAATAAGAATAAGAATAAGAATAAGAAGAAGAAGAAGAAGAAGAAGAAGAAGAAGAAAGATGTTGCTTTTGTAGGTTAAATCAAGTTGGAATTAATTAATCATTACCACCATTAATTTTAGCAATATGAAGACGGTCAAAATCCGAAGGCGTATGTTGATATAATATTATTTTTGAATGAGATAACAGAACGCTAGGTTAAAATATACAAAGCTTAATATACCCATTATGACAGCCAGTCTGATAAGGGTATAAAGTGACTATGGACTTGGTATACCCTTATCAAACTGGGAGTCATGCTGGATATATTGGGCTTCGCATATTTGTACTCCAGCGTCACTTTGTCGTGTCGTTCTCTCATTTAATATTATTATTATTATTAATAATAATAATGTCAGTATCCGCCTTCATATGTTAACCGTCTTCATATTACTAAAATGAATAAACGTAATCCCACTTGAGTTAACCTACTAAACAAAAATTACGAGTTTAAAGAACGTAGTCGGAGATCACATCTGATTGGATGATCAGTCAGTTACGTGCCATGCGTGATACACGACAGTTGCCATATAAGGCTATAGAAATCGGTCACTGTCCTGCTATTTACCCATAGCTGGGGGCGAAGAAGAGGATTCATACCTTTCCTAAGGGTATTAGCACGTAAGCGAATGTAATGGATTCGACTGGAATTCGAACTCGGCTCTCTGATTTTTGAACGTTATCCATTATTACACCGTGAGAAGACGAACAAAAAATAATCCATTTATAAAGAAAACAGAAATTTTTAAAGGAATTTATCTTCAATGCAAAGGAAAAAAACAATGCTCAACTAACAAATGTAACTAAAATCAGTAAAAAACATATTAAACGAAATTAATTAATGAAAAGTTATTGTTGAATATTTTAGAAAGAAAACTTGTTTATTGTAAATGAACTATCCAAAATATTTTAGAAACATGAAGTTTCATTCATATTAAGAAAAACTATAGTTGGGTATTTTAGAGACAGAATCTCGTCCATATTTCCACTGTCTATAAAAATTTTATTTTTGGTATTTTAAAAATGTTAGCTTTGTACATGTATAAACGTCTAGTTTTTTTTATACAAGTTCTTTTGAAAAAAGTGTATTTTTATGAAGACCTGACGGTTTGTGTAAAAATTGTTATAAAATCTGTGAAGGATCCATTTCTACACTATTTACATTATTCGGATATTGTCCTCATTTTTGTCGCCATATTTATTACAACGTTTCGGCAGTTGTACGCTCCGGCTTTCTTCAGGTGGTTGGAATGTCGAACTTAACCCTTTATTTATGGAGAGAAATGGAATCAGGTTGAAATCATAGACAAAGAACACCATTGGAAAATTCGTAAACTTAAGGAATCAGCACATATGCTAGGCCACAAAAATCTCCTGAGCCGACCAAGCATAGAAATGAATACAATATGGGAAGCAGTAATAAGGAGTGCCAGAGAAAAGCGATAATAACAACAAAAATTGCAATATGAGCTCTGGTAAAAACATGAAATGATAACAGCAAAAAATTGCAATATGGTAAAAAATTGTTGCTGATGACATTAGGTTTATAATACCCAGAAATTCATGCACAATTTCCTCAAGGACACATGGCACAGTGGATAAAGCTGTTAGTTAGATCCAGTGACAAGACTCAAAGAGTGTGAGTTCAATACCTGGTTATGTCAGTGGAGAATTTTCAGAGGGGGATTAACAGGAGATAACTGACATCCATTAGACATGTCATGTGGAAATAGAACAGTCTACCCCAGTTCGATATTCCAACCACCTGAAAAAAGCCGGAGCGTACAACGGTAATAAATATGGCGACAAAGATGAGGACGGTAGTCTGAATATTGTAAATAATATACCTAATACCTCATCTCAGAAATATAGACAGATACTGATCCATTTCTAGTTTATGGAAGATTAATTTGTTCGTATAAACTGACTAACGAGAGATGTGGTCTGAAGCTCTAGTAATATCCCGAATAATGGAGCAGGTGTAAATCTATTTTTTTTTTAAATAAATAGAGTTCAAGTCAGTAGATGTGAGGAGAAGACTTTTGACAGCAAAGGGAACAAGCTAGGTCGTCAACATCAAAGAAGGCACTGGCTCTTTTTTTGATGCTTTTTTCTTGAGGCTCCATCTTTTCTTAAGAGCATCAAGAAAGGAACCAGTTACCGCGGACGGACCAAAAGTGAAAATTCTCCTGTGGTAGGACTGCCCTAAACCAGTGGAAGCAATTCTGGGAGTTTTTTTTTCCAAGCATGAACTGTGAGAAGTTAAAGGGGACTTTTCTAATATTATTACTATGTTCCAGAGACACTCGTTTAGCAAGTAAAAGTAGGTGTTTTCGTTTTTTCTCAAATGGAGCTGCATTTTTTTTTTTAATGTCTTCTTTTATTGTTTTCTCTTTTAGTCATTTTCAAAATCCTTGTTTTTTCTCAAATTGTAATTTTTTTTTCCATTTTTACTTTTTCTTTCACCTGAAATTTTCATCCTGCCTTAATCGGCGCACAAAAGGAAATTTTTGTGCAAACATTTATTTGTACCTTTTTCGTATTTATGTAAGAAATGTGTTTTTCCTTTTAAAGATTTATGCAGTAGTTATCTTGGTTTGTAATTTTGCGCCTATTATGTTTTACTGTTCCTACTAGACTTGTGTCTGGCACTAGAACTTGGAATAAAATTATATATCATGGATATTTTAGAAACATGAAAACTCGTTTATACTAAGAAAAAATATTGGTGAGTATTTTAGAGACAAAATCTCGTCTATATTGAAAAGCACTATCGTGGATATTTGAGACATGAAATCTCGTTCATACTAAGAAAAACTATCGTTTGGTATTTTACAGATAAAATCTCGTGGATACTGAAATTAACTATCGTGGATATTTGAGATATGAAATCTCGTTTATACTAAGAAAAACTATCGTTTGGTATTTTACAGATAAAATCTCGTGGATATTGAGATTAACTATTGTGGATAATTGAGACATGAAATCTCGTTCATACTAAGAAAAACTATGGTTGGGTATTTTACAGACAGCCTCAATTCAATTTTTCTGGAGATTAATATGCAAACTCCATTTCCAAGTATCAACTCAAAAATCTTGCATTTTATCAACTTGCCTTTATTAAATTTTACTTCTTTGTCAAGTAGGCTTATGTTATGGAGATTATCAGCAAAACAAGAGAGAATGTAAAAAAGCAAATCCTTACACAACATAAAAAGGCTTACAGGCTTACAAAGAAAACGTGTATATGAAAAAAGAATATAAAGATAATGTTTGTAAAGTTAGGATGAAGTAGAAAGACAGAAAGCAAATGAAAACAAAATATATGTTTAAATGGGTGAGTCTAATAGTCTTTTTCAACCAACTATCTTCAGAAAAAATATAAAGAATTCTTCTGTTGTATCTGAAAAAACCTCCTTAAACAAAACAATACCATCTTAATGAACAACTTACATGCAGGCTTCTTCACTTTTTTCACCTTCACTCCACTTTTAATCTCGCAGACAAAAGATTCTTTTTTGTTGCAGCTTGATACTGTCTGCCAGGCTCCATCAACATCACCTGAAAAAAAAAATTAATCTGTCATAAATAAAGAGAAACAGCTTTCTCGGCCATATTGCAAAAAAATAAATAAAAAATAAACGGGTATTAAGTCTAAATATTCTTGTGGCTTGGATGGAATTGTATTTATATATGAATATGACATAAAGAACTTTGATTAACTTAGGCCAAATGATGCAATGGCATCCAACAAAAAGGAGGTCATTTTTTTCTCCCAGTTGTAACTTTCTCCCGGTTGATAATAATGATAATGGTTATATTTTATTATGAATGCAGCTGACAATTGAAATTTATAAAATTTAAATTCAAATTAATTGTAACACAAAATCAATAATAATGTAATTTTATAGTAGAATAAATTCCAATGTATTTGCATAATAAATTCAATTTCAATGAATTTTCATAGAAATTAAAATGTACATTCCAGTAAATACAATTCCAATTTTTATAGTAAATTCAATTTCTTCCAATATATTTTTATAGGAATTTCAATTGCTCTGTATTTTGATAGTAAATTAAATTCTAATACATTTTAATAGTAATTTCAATATAAATTTTTGAAGTCATTTCAATTCCAATAAATCTTCATAGCAAATTCAATTCCAATGTATTTTAATTGTCATTTTAATTCCAATGTATTTTAATTGTCATTTTAATTCCTATGTATTTTACTAGCAAATTCAGTTCCAATATTTTTTCAGAGTAATGTCAATTGGAATAGTAATACTAATGTATTTTCCTAATAAATTCAATTCCAATGTATTTTCCTAGTAATTTCAATTCCAATGTATTTTCCTAGTAATTTCAATTCAAATGTATTTTCCTAGTAATTTCAATTCAAATGTATTTTCCTAGTAATTTCCATTCCAATGTATTTTCCTAGTAATTTCAATTCAAATGTATTTTCCTAGTAATTTCAATTCCAATGTATTTTCCTAGTAATTTCAATTCCAATGTATTTTCCTAGTAATTTCAATTCCAATGTATTTTCTTAGTAATTTTCATTCCAATGTATTTTCTTAGTAATTTCACTTCCAATGTATTTTCTTAGTAATTTCACTTCCAATGTATTTTCTTAATAATTTCCATTCCATTTTTCTCCTAGTAATTTCAGTTCCAGTGTATTTTCCTAGGAATTTTATTTCCAATGTATTTTCCTCGTAATTTCAATTCCAATTTTTTTCCATAGTGATTTCAATTCCAATGTATTTTTTATGAAAATTGCAATTCAAATGTATTCTTATAATAATTTCACTTACAATGAATATTTGTAGTAAATGCAAATCCAAACTATTTCATTGCAAATCAAATTTCAAACTATTTTCATAGTAGGATTAGTTTGAATGTATTTTTCTTGCAATTTCAATTCCAAGACATTTTTATATGAAGATTAGTTCCAGTGTATTTTTGTGGTAACTTGAATTCCAGTGTATTTTCATATTTGGTTTAGTTCCAATGTATTTTTATAAAAACTTCAAATTCCAATGTATTTGAACATTAATTTTAGCCCAATGTATTTTTTAGTAATTTCAATTCCTCTGTATTTTCATTGTAAATTCAATTCCAATGTATTTTTATAGTAAATTGGATTCCACTGCATTTTTTGTAGTAATTTCAATTACAAAATATGTTTTTAGCAATTTCAATAGCAATGAATTGTTATAGTAATTTCAATTCCATTCTATTTTGATATTAATTTCCTTTCTAATGTATTTTTATAGTAATATCAATTACAATTTATTTTCATTCAATTGTATTTGCATAGTAATTTCAATTCCAATGTATTTTTATAGTAAATTGGATTCCACTGTATTCTTGTAGTAATTTCAATTGCAGTATATGTTTTTAGCAATTTCAATAGTAATGTGTTTTTATAGTAATTTGAATTCCAATGTATTTTTGAAAGTAATTTCCTTACTAATGTATTTTTTAATTACAATTTATTAAATTCAGTTCCAATGTATTTTTATAATGATTTCAATCGCAATGTATATTCATAGTGAATTTAGTTCAATTTTTGTTGTAATTTCTGTTCTAATGTAGTTCCAAAGTAATTTCAATTCCAATGTATTTCCATCTTAAGTTTAGTTCCAATGTATTTTTATAGTGTTTTCAATTCCAATGTATTTTGATAGAAATTTCAATTCTAATGTATTTTCATAGTAAATTCAATTCCAATGTATTTTAATAGTAATTTCAATATAAATGTAATTTGGCATCATTTCAATTCCAAAGTTTTTTTATAAAAACTTCTGAACCAATGTATTTTCATAATAATGTCAATTCCAAAGTATTTTCATGGCAATTTCGATTTCAACGTTTTTTTATATAGATTTCAATTCCAAATATCAAAAACAATGTATTTTTATAGTAATTTCAATTTGAATGTATTTTCATAGTATTTTCAATTCCAATATATTTTTTATAATAATTCCAATTCTGTTTTTTCATAATAAATTCAATTCTAATGTATTTTCATTGTAAATTTAGTTCCAATGTATTTTCATAGTAATTTCATTTCCTTTGCTTTCCCCTTTGAATCCTGCTCTAAATATCCACTGATAGATAACATGTTTATCTCATTACCAATTTTCCTGTATAGCTGTTTGATATCAAGATTTTTTTTTAATTTTCACATTTTTATTTGTTCTTTGGCAATCGGAATGAAAAAAAATGGCTTTTCTCAGAAAGTTCTTAAGCATTTTTAAAATAGAAATTGAGATGCTATTCCAAAACATCGTTAAACTCCAGGATGAACAACTAATAGAAACAACACCAGAATTTAAAGACTTACTTAAGGCCGAGGCATTCAAGGATCGGCATGATAAAAGTAGAAACTCCTCAAAAATACTTTCTAAACAACTGAAAATTGCCGCACAAGAACTACGCAACCACCCTGACATTATTGCAAAAAAAGCTGATAAGACCAACATTTTTGTCATCCTAAACAAATTGGATTACAACAAAAAACTTGACCACATACTCCATGATCACATAAAGTTTAAAAAACTTAACAAGAACCCGACCAACCAACTAAAATCAAAGCTTAATAGACTTATTAATGCTAATAATGCTGAACAAACTCTTTAAAACTCCCTAAAATTGTTGGTGATTATAGACCTGGTTACATATACGGTACTATAAAAACACATAAACCTAACTATCCTCTCCGTCCTATCATATCGCAAATTCCAACTCCTGTATATCATTTAACAAAACACATTAACCAACTTATTACTCCCTATCTTCCTAGTAAATATAGTGTTAAGTCAACATTAGAAGTAATCCAAATCCTAAAAAGTGAAAAACCCGACAATGAAATCATAGCTTCACTTGATATTGAAAACTTATTTACCAATGTCCCTGTTAGTGAAACTATTGACATAATTATAAGAAATATATACAGTAACTTATCTTTATCCCAACTTAAAATTAATCCTAATATATTACAGAAACTACTATTACCTTGTACTACTGAAGTCACTTTCTTAGATCACAATAATAATATATATATACAATGTGATGGTGTCTCCATGAGTTCAGTACTGGGTCCGACATTTAGCAATTTCTACATGTCGAACATCGAAAATAAGATATTTACAAATTTAAAAAAACACCCATCTACCTAAAATATGTTGATGGTATCCTTATGTTAGTTGAAAATACAGATGAAATACTTCAATTTCTAAAACGTTTCCAAAATAATTCTGTCCTTAAATTCACGTATGAACACAATACTACTAATAAAATTGCCTTCCTTGACATTTTGAAAAGCACAAATAATAACAAATTTACTATTTCGCCATACAAAAAACCTACAAGTATAAATTCATGTACACTTAACTAAAAAAAGTGAATGTCCATATTACTACAAAATAGCAGTTATAAAAATCTAGTATATCGTGCAGAAACTAATTCATCCACAAAACAGATTTTTTACAGTGAACTAAAGAATATAAAACAAACACTTATTAATAATAGCTTTCCAAACTATATAGTTGATGAACAAATAAGATGCATTCTTAGAAATCTCAATACTAAGTAAATAGAACATAATACTGCTTCTACTAATCTCAAACATATTATTTTCCTATATCGTAATCAAATGCATACTAATTATAAACAAGATGAAAATATACTAAAAAAATTAGTAAATACTAATATATCTACAACAGATCCTAGCAAAAAATTAAATTAATCATATACTACACTAAATCTAGTATATCCAACTTAATTCTTCGCAATGATTCTTCTCCCCCGGTTAGCGATTTGCAAAAAACGAACATAGTTTACAAATTCAAGTGCCCTTTGGGAGATTGTGTCTCCAACGAATTAAATAATATTTATGTTGATCACACCACAAACTCGCTTTCACGATGCTTGACACTACATTTGAATGAAAATTCTAACATTTTTAGGCATTTAAAACGACATGCCTGGCCGCATACACAATTCCGGAAAATCCTCGTTGAAAACACAATTATACTTAAACATGAAAACAACAAACAAAAACTAAAAATTCTTGAAGCTATATACATCAAACAGTTGAAACCTAACTTGAACAAAATAAACTATGAAATCTCCACAAATATTCTTAAATGCCTATAATTGGTAACAGAAGCCATTGGTTTATAACAACGGCTTCCCATACTTAATACTTGTCGTTTTCACTCTCGCGTGGTCATGTGCGATGCAATTTTCGATTCCACCATCTCGTATGCACGAGTTTGTCATTGCTTGGAAATCTTCCATGTAAACATAAACAGACTATCATCACTGTCTTGTCCGTGTATTGCTTAATATATTGTAATGTAATTGTCATTTTTGATAATGGCTTATGTAAGCTGAAAGCTTAGATAGGATTAAAAATATGTATCAATATTGTGATTTTCTTTCTTCTTTTAATGATAATGTTGTTAAGCTTATCAGAAGATATGAAAAGAATTTACATAAAATAAATATACAAAACTTGTGTATATTATTTAATGAAACATGCATCAATATATGTTTATATATATATATATATATATATATATATATATATATATATATATATATATATATATATATATATATATATATATATATATATGTAAATATATATATATCTATATATTTGTATATATATATTTTACATATATATATGTATATATATATATATATATATGTACATGTATATATATGTATATATATATATGTATAAGTATATATATGTACATATATATGTATATGTATGTGTGTTTATATATATGTATATATATATGTATGTATGTTTTCTTTTTAATAATTCTGAGTGCTCTTATTATTGTTGAAACAACAGGATATCTTCATTATTATTATTATTATTATTATAAGTTATAGTATTAATATTAGTAGTGGTAGTAGTTGTAACAATTTAGCGATACTAGTAAAAATGGTGGCACTTTAAATATATATTTTCCAATTATGGTATTGTATTCGTCTCTTTGACATAGTCGGTCTTTTCACTTTTAGGCTTTGTAAACATACTGGAATAGACACCCATTGCTATAACGAAGAAACTGTCTTTTGATGTAGCCATTGCAATCAATATAACAATATTTCAACAAAAAACTGCTGATATTATCTATTTGCTATATCATAGTGTGAGATTAATCCATCGAACACTTCTGGGGAAAGTGAAGGTTGTCAATGAAGTTCAAAGCTTCCATAAATTGGTCAATGATCTAAAATGTTTGATTGCTGATCTAAAGTTTATTGAAATGTTAATGAAAAAAAAAACGCAAAAGAAAAAATCAGTAAAAAGTATATAAAAACATAAAAAAACATAAAAACATAAAACCTAAAAACCATAAAACATTTGAAATTGTGTTTTTGAAGTAAAGGAGAATAAATTAAGTTTAAGGATTATTCTTCTATGTGCCGTGTCCCTTGAGGATGTTGACGATCATGGCTCTCCACAATTTCTTGTCTTTTGGAGCTCTGAATAAATTTTGTCTTTTTTTAAACCTTGTTCGGCCGTCCATTTACTCAAACTAGCTAGGTAGGTTATGCATTGTTTTTCTCTCTTGATTTAATCTGTCTTGTGAGTATCAAATTTTCCAAGCTTCCTTTCCTCAAAATGTGTCCTAGAAATTTTAACTCTCTTGATTTTAAGTATAAGTGTTCTTTTTTATTTTTATTTTCTCTAAAACTTTGCCGTTGCTCACATGTTTGTTCAATGGTATTCTCAACATCCTTCTGTAGATCTACTTGTCTATTGCTTCAAGTTACTTCTTCATCTGTGAAGAGATTGTCTAGAATTCACTGCCATATAGGGGGACTGATATTACGCAACATTTCAGTACTTTTTTCTTTCTAACGAAACCTTTGTTTCTTAATACTTTGTTTAGCTTTTATAAGGCATCTTTCACTATCCCAATGCGCCTTCTAATTTCAGTGTCGCATTTTCCGTCTTCTATTAAAAAAACCTCCCAGATATTTAAATTGTCGTACTTGTTTGATTTTGGTATCCCTAATTTTTAATTTGCATATGTGGTTGTTCTTTTTGCTAACAGCCATGCACATTTCTGTTTCTTCAAGTCTCTTCTTCATCTGTGGGGAGATTGTCCTGTATTCACTGCCAAGGAAGGACTGATATTACATAATAGTACACAAGTTTAATGATTAGGAATAAAAAAAAGATATCTTAACTAATAAACAAATACATATACTTTTAGAAATATATTCTATTTCTGAAATAGGATATATTTGATAGGGTCTGTTGAAGGTGTCAAGTCCTTGAGATTGGCCATAATATCGACCATCGCAAAGAGGAAAATGAAGAAGGATTTTGTAGTGGGTGTGTCTTCTCATTCGCCCTTAAAATAATGAATCAGCAATAATCTAGAAAGCGAAAAGATTTCCTTATAAAAAAAGGAGTTTCTTCCTTGGAAATTTTTCATTGAAATTTTTTTACCAAAGACACGCAGAATGAAACTGCTTGACAGCAACGAGCCAAAAGATTGGAAGACTCACTGTCTTACTCTCTCCCGTTCACTGACAAATAATCGGTAACATTTCCCTATGAGCGTTAATAAAGGCAGTCACTACAAAACAGATGCGTTGTGCTATGAAAAATTTCTCCTGGTGGATTGACCGTTAATTTGATTTTTAGCAAGAAAAGGAGACAGTCGAACTTTATTATATTGGTTTCAAGAGGATCGTGGAAAGTAATTTTACAACAAGGTTGACAACGACAGCGGTTGACAAACACAGATTCAAGACACATAGGCAACTGCATATGAAGCAGTGACATATGAAAACATAAAAACAAATAGAAACATTAAAAAGGTATAAAATTTAAAAAATACATAAAAACAAGGTGAAAACGTGAATTTTACTTGTGTTAATGACGACACATTTCTTTTTCTTAGGGTTGTCTTCACGTTCTTGGTATCCCATGTTGGTATATGTCACTTCCTCTCCAGAATCCCATTCATAATTTCCGTTACTGTCCACTGAATCAAGAAATAAAATGTTCTCCTGTAAAGCACCATTCAAATTCTATAAAACGAAAATAGGACTATAAAATTATATATATATATATATATATATATATATATATATATATATATATATATATATATATATATTATGCAAAACTAGGTAATCCGTATGGGTAGACCCAAGGAGGAGGATATCCAGAGAGCTCAATGTAAATTCAGAGCAAATATGTTTGAATAAAAACAGACCACTTTAAGGTTCCATGTAATAAGTTATTTCACCACAACCCTTTTAAAGGGATCTGGATCATCAAACTTTACTTCCAAAAGTTGAAATGAAAAATGAAAAGAAACTTACACATTTTTGACTGACCGCACCAAGCGTATGTGAAATTAACGAAGTGAGGAAGTGAGGTGGGAGAGAAGATATGAGTGAGTTAGATGTACCATTTTCAATTCCTTATCCTTAACCCCACTGTGTGTAGGCTAGACGACGCTTAACTTAATGTATGTTATCTCTAGATATAGATGGGTAAGGGGTGAGGGAGAAGACCGACTTAAAAGGGAGAAGATACAACAAACAATAAATCATGTCCATGAGAGCAGGTTTTACTCAAATTCTTAGACGCTGTTATTTCGCATTACTTTAAAGGGTATATTTGGGGGTTAAAGTTTGATATAAATCTAAATGTCTAAAAAATCTACGAAGAATTTAATTTGAAGTTTGTTGGAGTTTTGGCTATTTTCTATGAAATAGTCGATTGGAAAAAATTCATAGAAAGTACATTGAAAGAATAATCCATTTTATATCTAGTAATCTTTTTCATTTTCCTAAACTTTATAATAAATCTATAAGAAAAAAGTTTAGGAAAATAAAAAAGATTACTAGATATAAAATGGATTATATATTTAAGTAAATGCTCTGTTTATAATAAACAGTATTAACAACATTTACCGGCGTGAAGGTACGAAAAATTTTCATAGAAAATATGCGTCCTCCGACATTCAGGCCGGTAAATGTTGTTAATACTGTTTATTATAAACAGAACATTTACTTAAATATTTATACCTATAAAAAAGAACGTATAAACATAAAATGTCTTAAAAATAATTGTCGGACTTTTGTCCATTTCATAATATATATATATATATATATATATATATATATATATATATATATATATATATATATATATATATGTGTGTGAAATCCTTAAAACGGTTAATACATTAGGTGAAAGCACTAGAATCTCATATTTTAAAAGATTTCTATTTTTAAACACAGACAAAACCAGAAAAACAACAAAAAAAAAAAAACTTTTCCAAAATATGGGATTCGACATAAAAACTAAACTAAAAGAACTAGATTTTCTAGATGTCACTTCCAACCCAAGAAAAGGTACATACTAAGCATATAGAAAACACACACACACACATCTTCCAACCAGCCGCCATCAATAATCAAGCGGATCTCACAATCAACTGACCGCAGGATTTCTGCAATTTTCCAGTGAAACCATCTTTAACGAAACCAAGAAAAAAAAAATGAAACAGCCCTAAAAGATAATGTATTTCCAGCAACACTCACATACACACCACACAGCTGAAGAAAAAGCCAACAGGAAAAGAAACATCATACAAAAAAAAAAAAAAGGTAAAACAAACATAGGAAAAACATTCATTAAGCTGATACACAAACACTTCACAAACACAAGATAGTCAACAAAAATACATTAATATCAGCATCAGTTGAACAGAGAGCATGACACAAATAATAAAAGGAAAACCCAACAGAAAAACAACCAACACAACTCAAACCCGCGAGTAACTGCAGAACGAAAAAGGAATGTCCCTTAAACGGCAATTGCATGCAGAAGGATGTAATACACCAAGGCACTGTAAAATCAGCAGATAACAAGGAAAAAAACACATAGGTGTAACTGAAGGACCCTGGAAACAAAGCAAATACACACCCAAAACATTATTTACAAATAATATATACGCGAACAACGCAATGCTTTTTAAAAAAAAACTGCGAGATGATAAATAAAAAAACAATTGCCACCAAAAATATCATGGAAGATGAAGAAAATAGCAACAGCTTGCAATAATAAATCCAAAAACTGTAAACTCTTGTCTGGAGGAGAAAAATCTATAATTACCTCCCCAGGTCAACACAAACTACTAAATAAACGATCAGAACTCATCTCAAAATTCAGACACGAAAACGAATTTTTACTATCTTACTTAAAATCGAAAACTAAAAACGAAACAAGATTAAACAAAATAACTTAAAAAATAAATAGAAATAAGTAAAATAAATTAATCCAAACCAATAAATAAGTAAATAAATCAAATAAATAATAAACCAATTAACAAACTCGAATGCACACATAAATACAAGTAAACGTAATAATAACAACCAACAATAGAATAATCAATAATAAAAAATAAAAAAGTTAATAAACAACACTAAAGATAGCCCCCAAAATATACATCCAGATCCACAATTATTTCTACTAGCAGAATAATTTGAAATATAACCTTTGCCGCCAATCAAAATAACCGTTAGAACAATACAACAGACTAATAATGCATCACTGACCTGTATATATATATATATAGTTGAACAAAAACACAACCCATATATCCAGACGATTGCGTATAAACATGAAACAGACTGTTGCTGCTGGGACTTGACTTAAATGTCCCCATATATATATATATATATATATATATATATATATATATATATATATATATATATATAAAAAAAGAAAAGAATGGATGGGGTTAGAATCCACCGTTCTTAGCAATTACTTTTTAAAAAGTGCTCAATACATACGCAGAGCAAAATATAATATTAAAATATTTTATTGTAATAGATTACAATAAAAACATTTTTACATCGCAAAATATTTTTAATTGTAATCTATTATAATAAAAATTATATTATATTATATTATATTATATTATATATATATATATATATATATATATATATATATATATATATATACACTGAAGTCGACACCCAGAGGCGTCCTGGCGATTGCGTTTAACATGAAACAGCCTGTTGCCTCTGGGTGTTGATTTCAATATCCAATTTTATATTTACATACGCTCTATCGCTGATATTTAGCAGCTTAACCCATAAATTCTGCCTACCTTAAAACTATATTTGATCGTTATATATATATATATATATATATATATATATATATATATATATTCATATTCAGAGCAGGTGCGTACTACCTCCGACCGGAGCAGGGGAAGCCTGATTGGGAGTCCGGGCAGTACTTCATGACACACGTTATCTTATCAACATTTGCATTTTTTTTAACCTACATCTATACATGTTAAAAATTTAACTGACTATTGAAGCATGAAAATTTTTCACGGATTTTGATATTCTGGACTTTTTGTCATCCAAATCCTTGAATTTGTTTTGCTCATGCTAAGTCTCGAAAAAACACTATCTAAAATTCACCAATTTTTATTCATAATGTTGAATGTCTTAAGTTATTCAGCTTTTTACAAGAAAATCTCTAGTTGATCTTAAAAGTTACTCAAAAAATTGTCGGTTTATTTAAGATAGAATAATCTGTTGTGACATCTAATTTTTATTTCGATATATCATATTTATTTTCAATTTTTCTAGTTGAATATTTTACTCATTTCGCATAGTGATTTTCTAAGCGTAGCTTAGATGTGGCACAAGGCCGAAAGTATGGGGCACCCAGTGAGGATCGAACTCACGACTCAGTTGTAATAGTTCTAGCGAGACAAGCTTGCTAACCATTACACCGCCTCGAGGTGCCCTCATTTCGCATATGATCTATTATTGTACATAATTAGGTTTACAATAAAATTTGTATTTCATATGAATACTATCTTATGAAAATAGTGTTATAGTAGGGTGGGAATCCTGTATCATAGATTTGGTGGCAAGTAGGGGGGTAAACGAGTTCCTTACATGGGTTTGACAATAGAAATAACTGTGTTAGTATTGCTCTAACACTAATCTCTCTATCATGTGCTGTTTTTGCTGTCTTACTCTAACAAGCACACACACAAGGAAAATCGTATCACTATACGAAGGTGTCGGCCCGAGAGCTTTTTCAAAAAATGCTATTCTTTAGTCAGATTTTGAGAAGTGGGGCAGTAAAAATACATTTCAGTAGCCCCTTGGAGATTGCTACATTTTTTTCTCAGATATGCAATTAAAAAAAATGACAATGAAAATAATTTTCTGTTGATTTCAATTATGAGATTACTTCGTTTTTGATTTCAATACAAAGCCGACTTCAGCGTGTTTGATCAATCGGTCGTGATATTAGAACACTATTTCATAATCGTATTATGGTAGAATCCCTGACAACCGGATAAAGAAAGCCTCCTGGATAAGAGGAATGGGTTAAAAGTCCGGATATGAGAGGTTACATTTAGATTAAAATAAAAGAACTGAAATCAGGTTTAACGTTTATTTTGAATGTTCTATAGTAAACAGAATAAGCTAATGGTGAGTGAAGTATAACGTAATTGATTTTAAGGAAAAAGAAATAAATTATGTAATGTTAATGAAAATTCATTAAATTAAGTATGCCACGTATGCAATACAAATAATGTAACGAGGATTTTTTAATCGCTGTTGCATTATAATCATTTCTCTTCTAATGTCATTCTCAACTTTTCCACATTTCGTTTTTCTTTTGTTCTTGACATTTTTTTTAACGAAAGACACTTTTTAACTCTGCGTGCGTTATTGCAATCGTCATAGCTGAATGCTGGCTTTCTTTCCATAAAACTGACAACCTTTTCACTAGCGTTTTTAATTTCAGTCCAGGTGCCATCACAATTATGTTTTTTTATTTCATTGTTCATTGTGACAGTGTGAACACTGGAGAATAGTTTTTTTGGAAGATTTTGTATCATACAATGTTGACATTCGTATGTTGAATTCAGCCATTAGTTACAATGAACTTTCACCAGCGTCTAGTCTGTTTAAAATT